TGAAATTAGAAAATAAATGCCTAGCAAAGCATGTTGGGGGAGGGCCGAGAATTGGGGGGTTGAAAACTGGGGGGATATAAATGAAGTTGGAAGGGGACGGTAAGAGTGAAAAAGCGTAAGAGGGGGAATAAGAAGGCGGGAAGACTTGCGCAGTAGCATCCAAACCCCTATCCACTCTGCTCGATGCAGCAGATAGGGCACCGTTGATTATCCTCTGGGGTGGCCAGAGCATCAAGAAATTGTTTGGGCACCATCTTGGGGGTAGTTTTGGCTTCGGTAGCAGCCGATCAGACAATGGAGACAGATTACTGACTTTTCGTTCTTATCATCGCTTGTTTCTTTCGAGTACAAGTTTTCCTCATTTGAAAAGACAGACTACTGCATGGCGTCCGCTTTCTCAAATGCAAGAGTGGTCCCAGCTTGACCACATAGCAATAAGCTACGGATAGCACGGAAGCGTAACAGACTACCGATCGTACTGGTCCACCTGTCTGGACTCCGTTCACCCACTGGTTCGCTCCAAGGTTTGCATGCGTTTCGAAGGATGACCCAGACGTACGCACTACCGGCCGAACGTAAAAAATTTGCGACATTAGCCAAGTACTCGGTTTCTCTGTCAACAGTGCTTGCTACATCTGATAATGGTCTGAATTCGCAATGGGTGCATATCAAAAGCGCCTTAATTTCTGCCAGTACTGTCAGTTATGGAGTTAGTCACCAGCCGAGAAGCTGGATCACCACTGCCTCCTTGTCGCTGATAGACAGACGCCAGTTGATCCCAGCTGACACCAACTGTAGTGAGGAACGTTGATCCGTGGATCGAGCGTTGCGTAGGAGCTTACAGAAGGTCCGTCAGACCTAGTGGTGTGAACGTGCTAGAGAGATGGAACTTGCTAATCTCTCTGGTAATACCAGAAAACTGTTCCACCTCATCCGAGTCACTGAAGGCTTTCGACTTGGAATAAGTGAAACAATTTACGAAAAGGATGGCTCCCTAATCACTAATCTTCAGCGACGATTGGAGCGATGGACCGAACATTTTCGCTCACAGTTTTCCTGGCCACCAGGTCCATCTGTTTCCCCTGGGCGCTCATTGGTGCTGTGTGGACTATCCCCACTGATCCTCCCTCTCACCGGGAAATCTGGCGGGAACTCTGCTGCCTAAAGCGTTATAAGGCACTCGGCCCTGATGGTCTACCTCCTGCTCTATTTAAAGATATGGGCTATTCGCTGGTTCGAGAACTCACCGCTTTCTTCTCAGAAGTCTGGGCAAAAGAGGAGGTTCCATCATCCTGGAGTAAGTCGATAGTCGTTCCCATCTTCAAAAAGGGCCTGCGCACAAATTGCTCCATTACAGGAACATAAGCTTGGTTCCCGTCGTTTGCAACATTCTGGTATCCATCATTCTTCGCAGACCATCCCCCGTGCGTGAATCGATACAGCGGGAGGAATAGGCTAAGTTGCTAAGTGCCTGCATCGATCAGATTTTCACACTGCGCCAGATTCTCGATCTCCGCCATGTGTATCAAAAGCCAACGATTGTTGTGTTTCTGGATATCCGCGCTGCATTCGATTTTGTCGACAAGGCCGCATTGTGGTACTGACTGTTGGGGAATGGCATTCTCGCGAAGTTCGTTTCCGGACTGCGTGCTCTGTATAGTCTGACCGTGGGTAAAGTTAGCGCTTATGGCAAGCTTTCGCCTTCCTTTGTTTTTACCAGTGGGGTTCTACAAGGATGCCCTATCTCTCTATCCTTCTTCAGCTTTGCCATTGAGGATGGCCTCAAAAATGCTCTAGAAGACTTGTTAAACGCTGGCATTGAGCTCCTTTCAGATAGTCGGGTAGTTGATTTGGATTACGCTGATGATATCCTCTTGTTGGGTTACGGTCCCCAGGCCGTCTGCCTTGCACTCAACCGCCTGGCGATTGAAGCCATCCAAGTGCAAAGCACTTTTTCAAGGCTGGCATACTCCTTTACCTGCACTCACTATCTATGGCGAGACGTTAGAAGTTGTATCGAGTTTTGTTTATCTGTGAAGCTGCATAACTGCTGGTGGGGCTTTTGAAGACGAGATTTCGATGCGTATCTCAACCGGTCGTCTCGCCTTCTCCAAACTGAGGCATTTAGGGCGCCGCCATGAAATCCGTCTTTCTATCAAAGGGCAGGTATGTAATGCGACCGTCCACCCTGTACTGTTCTAAAGTTGCGAGACGGCCTGCTCGTACCGATGACCTGCGTCGATAGTCGGTCTTAGAGAACCGTTGATTGCGGTCCATCGCTGCACCACGTAACCAACGTTGAAGTCAGACAGCGTGTCTTGGGTCGAGGCAGCCACTCCCTCTAGGTGCTTGTCTCGCTGCGCCAACTGCGATGGCTCGGTCACGTACTGCGTATGCCCGTTCAGCATCTTCCGCGTCATGCCTTGTTCCCGGTCGCTAGGCAGGGCTGAAGGAGGCTGTGAGTTGGGCAGCTTTCGACTTGGAGAAGCAGGATGAAAAAGCTGACATAACAGCTGACTTCGGTTGGTTCTCCCCGACTCCCTGAATGCGGTCCCATGGATGCTGAGTGCCGTTGCTTGGAAACGTTGGCAGTCATGGCTCGAAACCGAACTTAGTGGCGGGCATGTGTTACTGCTTGCTACGGTGACTCCCCTTCCCTCTCTCAATAGTAAACATCAAAAAATCTCAGAAATTGTGAGTGCGTAAAATAGACAAAAAGTTGTTTTTTTTCTTTCCTTTTTTACTCTAATCCTGTTTTCCTATTCCGCCATAGTTCCGATGGCATAATATCTGTACACAGATTGTGATTATATATATATATATATATATATATATATATATATATATATATATATATATATATATATGCGCCCCGTGCTGAGGCTGATGTCGCATTCATGATGCTTCTTCACTGCAGTTGGGCTAAACCAACTTACACTTAAACTAGGTCTTTTTAACGTGGATAAATTTTATTTTGTTTGTTCTGCGTACTTGATAATCTCCCAACTTACACACGTCGCTCATGCAAATTGTGGTAAACTTGTGTAATTTTATCGCGTGGTATCTTTTAAATAACTTTCGGGCATTTTGTACTTATCGCGTATTGATATTTAACCACTTTCTTTCATATGCGCATTTAGCGAATATTTATGTTGTCATATGCGTTTACTTTATTCGATATCGGCATTTCGAGTGATTGGCTGTTGTTTGACATCCCAGGTGTGGTTGCGCTTAATGTGCATGTTGACATGGTGCCTACCTGTCTATTACCCACTACCACGTCCATCTGGCTCCAGGAGACAGTTGGTCGTTGCTGGAGGGGATGGGGTGCACGGTCCTTGTGGTCGTGCTAGGCTCGAAGAGTAGTTCCATGCACTCAGTGTGGAGCGGACTACGGTCTAGCCACCGCCTTGTGTGCGCTTGATTCCCCAAATACAGCGTGCTTCTGTTTGCCTGTGAAGGAGTGTGGGCTGGCTCCGTTGATGAAACGTGGCTCCCACCCGCATGCCTCCCGGTTTTATTCCTTCGGGTTTACACTGGGTATGGGGTGCGTGGATGTAGCTGTGGGTGGTGCAGCGCAAGCCACCCATTGTCCCTCTGTAGGCGCAGGCGTTCTGTAGCTGTCCTAAGGAGGCCGCAGTGACAGGCAAATCCGGAAGCGGATACCATCAACCATTGTATATAAGCACTTTGGTTCCAAATTGGTTGAACTCCTATCATCCACCGAAAATTCGGCTATGTTGCAATGCTTTCTCATATTTCGTAATGGGTGCTTCTCAGATTTGTCAATCTTCTCACTTCAGTGCATAAAGCCATGTACCTTCTAATAAATTTTATGGCGAAAAATCCACACGAATCCTGGATGTTAGTTGGCACTCATAAAATCTGGAGTTTCTCGAATGCAATTGCTTGCCTCCCACTTAGTCATTGGCTGGTCCGTATCCAAGTCTCTTAGGATCGGAGTGAGGTGTTGTGCAAAACATTACCAAGAAAGCTAACAGTATCCCTGCACCCTCCTGCTTGTGTTTCACACCTTAAGCGCATATGATGCTGTTACAAAGCTGGACCGACTTTTGCTTTTTACCGAACAATCTATAAAAGTGGTCGATTTGCCTACTTGTTTATCCTCTGCCGGTGGCATTACTGAAGAGGTTACCTTCCTCAATGTTAAGCTTCGTTTAGCTTCTCTCAGCTCCACTCTATATGGAGCTTTCGGGATATAATCTCACTCGTCAATAGGAGGGTTCGAAACACTGCATTATGGTCAATTATTGTACGAAAAGGAGATATGGCCACTATGCGTCGAAGACCTAATGGGACTGGCTGTCTAATTGGCGATGCCCACAAAGTATTGTTCATGTCTGTTATTAACGCCGAGTGGGAAATGCTGAAACCCGCCATTTGATATGTGGCCGCCAATTCTCTGGTAACGTACTGTTGAGCTGGGTAGATCATCTTTGCACGCATATTCATCGATCTTTTTAGCATGTATTGTTTCCAGTACTGCACCAGTTTAAGTGAAATTCCGTGCTGGCCAGCCAATAATGAGACAAGACGGGACAAGGAAGCATAGTTATTACTTGCCGTCCTCTTAGATGGGGAGCCTCAGAATGCATCGTATCGATTGCTAGATTGGGTAAGGTGCGGTCACGAAGGCAATGGCGCTTCTGCATTCGTTCCCGCATTTCTTGCTTCCTCAAACTACTATATTTTCTATTTCACACGAATGTTATTACTGTTGTTTATTGTCATTACTATTACTATCCTCCTTGTTAGCGATCTAAATTGTCAACCGAATCACCGCTGAGCTGAATTTCTGCATAGACCATCGGCGCCATCAGTTTCATTCATTTCGAATGACATCTTATGTCATTGGCATTATATACCAACATTTTTCCGGCCTTTGCAAGCGCTTTCATTTCATTGTCAACAATTCTGTCCCTTTATGGAATCACACTCGCTGATTTTTTTCCCACAGTCCTACTGTTTTCTCTTTTCAGGTGCTAGATTCTTCGGATGTTGTTCTCTACGTGCTCGATGCTCGCGATCCAATGGGCACTCGGTCCTCCTACATTGAGAATTATTTGAGAACAGAGAAGCCACATAAACATTTCATTTTCGTCTTGAATAAGATTGACCTCGTTCCGGTTTGGATCACAGTACGTTTTAGCTCACTCACTTGGCTTGGCTTTTAATCCCACCTTTGAGCCTCGTCGGCTGTTACATCGATTGCATGCTATTTAGACTCGCTCTGGATTTCCGTCGACAAGATGGCATATCTTCTAATCCGCCTCTTTTGTCATCATTTTCCGGTGCGGTACCTTGTAATTGTTGTCCCCCAGTTTGCGTCACAAGCCCGTCTTCTAGCGAGGCTGTAGCTTGTTTTCTTCACTTCAGCTTTGGATATTACTCTCATTCTACTTTCGAGTCAAGGCAAGTCAGAATAAGCTGAGCACATTTTCAGCACCTTGTTACAGTAGAACTGCGGATAAAAATTTTGAGTACAAAAGGTCTACTTAAAAGGACAAGCATGTGGATTAAAAAAAGTATACTTACATTCACTAAAGCAAACGTTCACGCGTTGCATTAGGGATCTTTGTCGAGTTCACTAGAGATGATAAATGGGACAAAACAGAGTTATGCTAAGTAGCGGTGCGATAATACAGCACTTCACATTTTGGGCGTCTGGATGAGAAGGAACAAGTTTTCACTAACTCAGCGTGGAGTGGGTGACACGGATCAATTACAATGTGACATGTATCAAAATACTTGATAACAATGAAGTCTACAGGACACTGGCGGGGTATTCCACTACATTTAGGGATAAGCATAATCGACCGGACAATAATTGTACAGTCTTTTTGAGGAAGACCAAGGAAAATAGCAGGCGAGAAGTGCAACCAATGAGGGATAATACAGGTAGCTACGAATTTATAGCTTAAATAGCGTGGTACTGAAAGCATCTTGAGCCGCAGGGCATAAAATGATAATTTCCTTAGCTTGCGAAAAGTTTCGTCAACGTGTGTAGACCACGTTAAGTTTTGGGATAAAAATACACCAAGATACCTAACATTGAGTGAACTATGTGTAATGCATTCCTTCACTACCAACAATGGGGCTCAAAGCACTGGGCAAAGTTTGACGTTTGTCAGCGTGGAGAAGAGAAAATGTTAAGTCTCGGCACTTTGAAGCATTGAGGACAAGGGATCGGGAAGATGACCACCGTTCAAGCTCGCCCTACCCTTTTTGAAGCGCCGATAATGATTCGTTGGTGGGATAGACGCTGCCTAAAACAACGTCCTCGGCGTATTGACAACCAAAAAAAATCTGATGGAATACGATATTTCTCGATGCACAGAGCAAACAAAAGGGGAGAGAGGATTGCTCCCCCCCTGTAAATGACCGCATCCGTTACTAATAGTGGAGGACCTTTTGCTGTTCAGTTGGGTGAATTGCGAGTGCTTTGTAAACTAATTTCCAATTATATTGCACACCGCAGCTTGGGCGCCGTTTGTAAATATTAGGTTGAGAAGCTGTGACCTATCGACACTTTCAGAATCGTTCAAATAATCCAAGAATGGCAGACGTACTGCCTTACATTTAGCATCTAATGCAGATGCTATTGAGTAAAGGAGATTAGCCACTGCATCCAACGTGGATCGTTAGGTTTTATAAGCAAACTGAGGTTCATCACTAGCTGGGGTGCTTGTAGAAATCAAAGGAATAAGCAGTCGTTCTAAGATTTTCAGCATGACAGATGTACAATCAATGGGCGGAATTCCTGTGCTTGCTTTGGGACTGACGTTATCCTGACTAGTCTCCAAATGTCGGGAATAGTGCCACTGTGTAGGTAACAATTGAACATATGTGTTAAAGGTAAGGTGAGGGAGTCGGCGCACTCCTTTAAATCAGTTGCTAATAGAGGATCAGGTTCTCCGACTGTCCTCATATTCAGCCTCTCAAATTCCTGGTAGATCTCTAAATGTTGGAATGCAAATGTTAGACCAGCTGCAGAGGGTGATAGCGGGCGAAATAAAGGCAGCAATCAGGCAATTTAAGGGGCGGATCGGAATTCAGTTGCGTTTATCCACATCTACAGACCCTAGATGTTTACTAGAGCCTTTACCACACAGTTGTTTCAAAAGCTGCCACAGGTCACGGCAGTTGTTTTTGGATAAAGTGGCTTCAATGTATAGGCCATTCAGTCGTATATTCTCAGTTTAATGGCTGAAGTAAGTAATTTGACACGATCGGGCAGTTTACTTTTATATGCACGTTCTTTTTTGCTCCTAGGTTAGTTGAGTTATGTGGGGGAGGGGGAGAATTGGACTGCCCTTAAATAAATGATTTCAATTGGGCAGCAAAGGTCGAGGCAGAAAATGTGATAGTCGCTGAGTTGCTCACATTAAACCGACAAATCGTCGTTGAAAACGATAAAATCCGTGGAGGACAGCGTTGTTTGAAGTCTCGTGATATTGAACACTCTCTTCGTCCGACAGTTTTAAATGGTATGTGAGCCAAAGAAACTGAGTTTGTCTTACTGTAACTAAGGGCATACCTTTATGATGCAATGGTCAGAGTTGCCGAGTGGAGCCCTTTTTGCGTGGAAAACAATCGAGCTTGGTTTCTGAAGACAAAATTTAATTTTGCTTCTAGTCTAGTTGGAAAAGTCACTATGTTCGTCAGATCAGGTACCCGAACAATATTGAGAGTCACATTTATTGAAATCTCCAGCAATCACACAGACTGAGCGTTCGAGTTTCCGTAGTAACACCGTAGATAACTTGTCAGCCAATTTATTCATTTGGGACGCTGGTGTGTCAGGCGATATGTATACCTTTCCGACGACAACTGAACTAAAACCGCACAGGAACCGTGGCTTGCATTCAATCAAGTGACAGCTGACAGTGGTTTTGATGTACATGAACAGTAAAGCTGCCGAATCGTATCAGCGTTGGTTGCTGTAAGTACTTACACCGCCTCCACGATTTTGGGGTAATTCTGGTCGATCAGACCTGATGGAACGATGGTCAGTAAGTCAGAATGCAACCAACTTTCCTGTACCATCAAAACAGCTGCACTTGAATATTTAGTTCGATGCAAGATTGCGGTAAGATCCACGATTTTTCCTAGTAATGATCGAACATTACTCTAAAGGATTATTTGTAATTGTCCGGTTTACTGAACGCCTTAGGCTGACTTGCCAACCAGCTTCGTGCTTTCTCATTTTTCCAAACTGCTTTTTCATAATTCTTTTACTAGTGTTCCTGACTTTATGGGAATATTTAACAAATCACGAGCAAAAAGTGATGTCGCGAAATATCCTTAAAAATCGGCAGTATAGAATATTGAGGTCATCACCATTGCTCCAGATAAACATAATTGCAAAACGATTTATACGAACTTGACAATTCCGCAATAACTAGTGTAAAAATGAATTCTCAGCAGCAACGGCCAATTTGAATGCTCCGCCTTAAGCCTTCATTGGTATACCGAAACAACAACAACAACAGCGCATGGGTATTGAAGCACAGTCCACTACTCTTTCCCCTTTAATAAGGGCCTGTTCGTTGAATAAATATGTTGAGTGATTCTGGATTGGAAGAGGCCTTTAGGCTCTGTGATGACTTTAACGCAGATGCCTAATGTTCATTAGTGCTGACGCCGCCACTATTGCGACTGTGAATAAGATCAGCAGGACCACGAGGGGCAATTCAAGTCAGGATACGCCTTATACACCCATTGGAACATTTTCAGCATTTTACACTATTTGGAAATACTACAGCACACAGCAACATTGAGAAAAGGTACAAGGTGACTAGAAAAAGAAGGAGTGCATTTTCACTCTAGCTGGCAGTCTCGCAAGTGGTTCATTGCTTTTGGCTAGACTAACAAGCGGGACAGATAGAGTAAGATGGAGTTGCGATACGTCGAGGTACAAGACAAAGCTTTAAACTTCAACTGTGGGGAAGAACCGGTTATCGTGCTGGCTAGAATAGTGTGTAGAGGGTGAAAGTGATCTTTTAGAATCCTGGATGAAAAGGTAAAGAATGCGTCAAAATGCTTGCTGACGGTGAAGTTAATGAAGGATACCAGAAGGTCGGGAAATGAATTTCATTGAGCACAAATGAAGAGTACAATCCTCTTTGAGGAGTCCGGGGGAAATAACAAGGAAGCAGTATGACTAATGATGGTGACTACATGCATTTGCAAGACAGAATTAGACATTGGGATTCCGAGGGCATTTTGAGTTTGAAAGCGTGAAATAATAGTATTCTGACTCTTTGAAGAGCTTCGAACACGTGTTCGACCAGGTATAAATTGTAGGACAAAAGAACACCGGGACACCTTATAGTGGCTAAACGAGGGGCCTAAAGAGAGCAAGATCCACCTTACCATATCTCAGATCTTCAACGACTTCAGAAGGCTGAAGATAATGCTTAAAGGAGAGTGATATAGAGAATAGATCGCCAGCTGTACGCCATATCGGCGCTTCGCTGCCACGAAACCACCACTAGCCACGCGTGGGCTGATTATACTGCAATGACGTCCACTCCTACGCGGATTCGAATCGGGGATCTTATGGTTGCAAACCAGACGCGCAGACCAGTAGTGTTACTACGAGCTAGATCGCATCAGCAGTGCCTCGACGATCACAAGTCGGCAGCCTTATGCTTTCGACTTCTTGGTACGCTCACCGCATGCTAAAGAGAATTGCGTTTTCATAGAGGAGTGGGTTCAACCATCTGCGGCGGATGCAGTCTCGCTCAAGATTTCGGCGTGCAACTGTCCTCTTCCCCACATTCAGAAGCCGCATGGTGATGCTGATTGTGGTAGTGAATAACCAAGGCACCGTTCACTCAAAGATCATCAACGATGACACCTGCAATGGTTCAAAATTCCCGATGTTCCTCAAGAAATTTGTGTCGCGCGTCTGCAGTATACCGCAGAAGTGAGATAAACGTTGCACGGTTACTATGGAGAACCAGGCTGGTGCGTACCGTCTTCCTTTATGGGGGCCTCATGATGGTCCACGCCAATAGTTGAAAACCGCGCAGTCAAGAAGTCATTGGCATTCCTGCATTCGCCTTTCATCTGGTTGTTTATTGTCATTTCACTCTGATCAGCATTTCCTTTTCGCTTTCATTTTCTCTACATTCTATTTTTCCTCAACCCCACTTTCTGACTTGTTATT